CCCCCCAACCCACGCCCCGCTCGCGTTATGCTTGCTTAGTCTCTTTGAGGAAAGACTGACTTACAATAATAAACTACTATTTAACAAACTCTATTCTAATATTTTTACTAAAATTAATGTTACCAACATTTTATGACTTTACGAAGGCCAGTGCGTTTTTAAAAATCTCTGCAATGTTTTCATTGACAAAAATATTAAGTGTGTATATATCAAAGGTACAGTAACCGAATAGTTCGGTTCACCAACAGAACTATCCGAATAGTTACGGTAAAAGGGCAAAGTACAAAGAGCTACATAAAATGCCAGAAGGACCGCATCGGCGACAAACTCGGAAGGTATGCGGAGGGCCGACTGCCATGCCGTGACTGTGCACCCTTTGCGCGACGCCCTTTGCATATTAGCCTACTGAAAATCAAAATTCTAACGTTATTAATGACTCGTCGCCATGACAATCTAAATATCTACGCTCGTCGAAACACTAACGGCGCGAAATTACTCCCGCCCGATTTCCGGCCTCTAAATAAATGTACAAAGTCACCAGATGCGATCTAAGGAATCATCTTTCATAATACAAGGCGAAGAAAAATCATGGAAGATTGTAGGCATTCAGCATCTTTATCTCTCGGATACAAGAGTTCATTTTATGACCATTAATTTTGGGTGCGCGGGTGTTTTATCACAACGTCTGCGAGCTCTGTCGCGAGTCTCATTAATCAAAAGCATTTGTTTACAACGAAGGGAATTTGATTTGATTAAAATAATTCGCAATATCCTTGATAAATATCACCCTCGGTCTTCGTTTGATCTTCGTTGAAATTAATGGTAGAGGATCCAATCACGCTTGTGTCTCAACGTCACCAATCACCGTGCCAAATGTTTGTAAACGGATTTGCTATTCAAATACTGGTCACATTTTTTGCGTGCTCTGTATTTTGTTGCGGGGTAGGTTTTGATACCGCGTATTCATTGCCAAGCCACAAATAACCTTTTATTATCTAATTAAACAATTTGTGGAATTTTGGCCTATTTTATCTATATGAAACAAAATATCAATTGTAAAAGGTAAGAGATTTGTTTTCTAAATATAGTGTAGTGCCATCGATGTCTCACTCTCACTTTGTCTTTTTAATTCTATCTGCCGATGTTTTCAGATATATGTTATAGATTATTTCCAGTATAGTCACCTGGTTTCCATCCATACACAATTCTCGTGCTACGTATTCGTACGAAATAATTTGAGAGGTCTTTTCTCGTGCGGACAACAAAAGAATGGAATGAGCTGCCGGCGTCAATGTTTCCAACCAATCATAACGTGGGTACCTTAAAGCGCGTACCATTCTTCGGCTACATTACCACTTAACTGTAGGTGGGATCGTGGTCAAGCACTGGTTTTAAAAATCAAAAAAAAAGATAACAAGTTATAAACCTAGCGACATCTAGCGTTTAAAATCGGCAACTTTAAATCAGAGTGTAACAAAGGGTCAATAAACAGTTATCTTGTAGCGAGGGGTAGGATGAATAACGAGGGATGTCAGAGCGATGTGTGCCGGCTCAGTCCCCAACACAGCAGTCCGGCAGCCCGGCGGACCTAGCGGACCCGGCGGGTCGCGATTAAGCGACGCTAATTCGAACTGAACTCGAATCCGAGCGGACGGGCGCATAGAGCCCGACGATTTGTTGACTGCTAATTGACTCAACGACTGATTAACTGCTAGGATTGAGAGCCTACGCGGGTGAAGCTCTTAGAAGATTTCCTCTCATTTGTCTCTACTGCAATAATTAGTAAGCGTACATACTACAATTGAATACAATTTAAAACTATAAATTTGTGAATTTATACTTATTCAGTAAAACTGTTAAAAACGAAATGTATATATACAAAACTTTTCTTAAAATGTCTTATTAGTTAGTCATAATGCGATCAACAAACTATAAAAAAACAACAAAAACTAAATATAAGTTTTAAAAACGAACTATGTGACTAATTCATTTCGCTTTAACTTGAACTTGAATGCGCAATTCCAGTTTAAGAAAAAAACGAACAAAAGCAGCAAGAAATGCAACACGATAAAAAGTCTACAATGTTGACATTATTAAAATAACATCTTAAAGGGTTCGCGCAACAAACAAAATATCATTATAATAACACGGATGAGTAGACATGAGACAAAAACAAAGCAAACGGCAACAAATTATATTAAATCAGAGATAATCCTGTCAATTAATTGGACTTAGTATTGGAGAGCGGTCGGCGGCGCGGCGGCGCGGCGGCGCATGCGCGCTGTCCTAATGCGAGACAATCGAGATACCACAAACGATTTCAATAAAAGATTTCCTCTTTAATCTTATAATTTTATTAATGTTAACTAATATAAATATGTCATTATTGTTCACTTATAAGTTTTAGTTGCTTTTTACATTCAAATAAAAATTTACTACCAACAAATTCACTATAATAGTGCATCTATCGTCATAAACAGGAAAGTAGCGTTGTCAAACTTCGTGGTCTCTAACCATTTGATTTTTATAAACCCCTATTCTAAAATGTTTCTAAAAATTGACGAAGGAGCGTTTTATAATTTGGTTGCCAGTTAAGAACAAATTTTCTCAGCAAGACACTTTATTTTGCATCACATTTTATTTAATTTCTAAAAGTAATTTCTTCGCATGTATTAAAAGCTAAAGAGGGTACGGTTTTTGTTGTAAAATTACTAGGTTATTTCTTTTAAAAGCGCCTAATCCCGCGCGAGTGGCGGGGCGATGGTCGGTTGACAGTGACACATCGGTACACGGCCCGATGTCCGACTGTAATTCTATCCGACACTCGGATCTCGGATAAACGGATACGGTTTATGTATACGATTCTACACTCAATTAATAGGCTTTATTTTAGCGCAGAACATTGGGGGAGCCTCGCGTCATACGTCCGAATGGAACGTGAAAAATTATGATTTACCGATCGATTGTTTTTTATACTGAGCTTTGTGAAAGGCTTTTTATTCTTTTTAAACGACTTTAATGAATTGGTCGTTATGTATCTATTAACATAATGGTTTTTAGAAGCTAAATTCAGTTTTGTCATGCCATTACATTTTGAACACGAACAACCAACGAGAAAGCAAAATCAGAACAATTTTTGAGTTGAGAATAACGCCACCTAGTTTAAAATTTAGAAAAGGTTAACTTTACCTATTGTTACGATAAAGAGGTAAAGTGAAAAACAAGTTTCTTGAGTTATATATTCAGTTTGAACAAATTAAATCGTCCATGTACCAATTCCCATTTGAAGTACTTAAAGGGAAGTCAGAATCGAGTATCGTTCAGACCGCGCCGATCAATCACCATCCATTAAACAAGAAAAGAAAAGCGGTTTCCCTCTCCTCCCCCCCGCACGCCGGCCCTCCAATCGGCCCAATTTACATGAGAGCCGCTTTTTCCTCGCATCGAGATTAGCCCCCGAATGAGTTTGATGAATTGTTCGCGCCCTGCCGGCAGGCCGGGACTCCGCCACCTACCGGTCATTTGTTAAAAATACACCCGATCCACGGATCTAATTGTCTCCTCTAATTTCACACTCCCCAGTGATATCTGCTCGTTTAAATTAAGAATGTCTTTTTTTAATCCTTTTTCACACTTTCAAGCGCTTTTGTTTTTATTCACATAAAACTTGCAGCATTGGAAGGAATTACTGAATTTTAAAAACTTGGAAAAATGAAAAAAACTACGTAACTGAATGTGGAACTTCTCATTTTAGATGTATTAAACAATACCTTGTAAGGATAGGTTTAATTAGGTAATGCGTATCATGTAATCCATTAGGAAAAGTTCAGGTTTTGAAGATTTACAAAAGTCCTTAAAGTTAAATAAATAACAGGTAAGAAAAAAAATGAAGTAGTGAGATGTAATGATTAAACAAAAAAAACTAGGAAAAACTGAAAATAAATGATTCTAGCTATTCATTTTTATTTCAACGTCGTGACGTTTTATTTCTATATAATTTTTCATTTACGTTATTATGTCATTTTTAAGTGTGCTTAATCATTTATATTGTTCTATAAAATGGGCATCTAATTATTATTTTGGTAAGATTATTTTGTCCCTTACCTTTCGAGATGTTTTACGATGTCCTCATAAGCCGCTCTACAATTCTCCCAAATACCAGATCTGTTGACAAAGGAAATAAAATAAGAAAAATGAGGAAGACATAAAATAAAAAAAAATGAGAAGAGATGAATGAAAGCGGCGGTGCAAGGGTTAGAATACTTTTATTGTTACAAGACTGCAAAGACAAGAGTTGCTACAAAGCGTTCCCAAGTATTCGCAAAATAAAAAGTTCTCAAATGAAAGGGTTTAAATGTTAAAGGAATAATTATGAGCACTCAATATTAAATGTTCCGTTAGGCTGCGCGAGGGGCCGAAGAAATTAATTATGTTTTTAAAACAATCGCTTATATTTGTGCCGTGCCAACTCATGCGTGATGCTTGGAATTGTTTCTCAATTACTTCGCCTCTTTGTTTTTCAATAAACTCTCTTTCATTTCTTTGACAACAAATAGTTAGAAAGTATTTCATTACGTAACTGTTATAAGATTCTAATAAGAAGTTCGATTTTTTATGTTAAATTGTTATTGTTTGCTTGTGTTTTTACTCATGGTTAGTTGCAGTAGTAAAGGATGATGACGTCACAGGTGTAAGAACGTTAGCTAATATGTGTAATACAGCCGATATCCGATAGATTGAATCACATAGGGCCAGTAAGACAGTGGGGTAAGTCAAGTGAGCATTGTGGGTCTTCCGGCGGAAGTGAGGGCACTCAGTGTTTGTACTTTTCTTATTGGCTTAGCGTGCTTAGACATTTAACCTGCGGCCGCAGCTATTGACCCGATAGAGGGTTTCTTTCGGTAAACGCGGCGGGTAAGCCGATTTGTTGCTAGATTGCCGATTTCCGCCTTTAATTGTTTCAACCTTGAACTGTCACCACTGACGACTGCCTAATTCCTATAATCCATTTGTTTCATTCAGTTACAAAACATTTTTTTTTGTACAAAAGATACATCAATGATTATTGTTTATTGAAAGAAGAAAAAAATACTATTGAATATAATCAAAGGTGTTCCTTTGTCATAACTCCGTGCCGTGCCACCTTAGGCAGGAACCAAAACCTTAACGTCAACAATACCTCATATTTTATGCTCGTCGACATTTAATTAACGTAACAATATACATAAAATACATGTAGTTTCCGTTGGTTTATCAATCATTAAAACTGAAATAGATCGCCATGTATTGACCGGGCGTGGTGGCGGACAAAACGATGCCCAAACAATCCCAGCGCGACCGCCGCTTTTCATGACTTTACCAATATCCGTTCCAGGTTAGTTTTATTGCCTTTAAAGTTTTTATTTTATTAGACACGATGCACGACAAGTCAATTAACTTATTATATTCTATGCCGTATAAGTTATTTTATTAAAATCGTATTTGGACAACGACGACGTCAATTTTTTATCTGTAAACATCTATGCTAGTAAAAGGAATCATAATATTTACGTGTAAAAAACCTTATCAGAAAAATTGAATTAAATTAGTCGTTATGTATAAAATTATTTGATTATAGTGGTAGAAAAACTGTGCAATTAATCCTGAGCCTATTTTATTAATTCTTGGAAACTACCAGAGACTTTTATTAAAAAATACGTCATGTTAAAGTTAACTTTAACAGAGATAGAGAATAACGCCATCTAGTGGGCAAATTGTAAACTTTAGTTACTTAATTAGAACTTTGCGGATTGCTTTGAATAAAAACATTTTTATATACTAGTTCTTTAAATTACTAATTCCTTACGTGTCAGGGCCAAGCTGCATCTGTAGTTCAGAAGGGTCTGCGCGACCGGTGAAGGCCCACGCCCTCACAGAATACCTGCGTAAGATTGCTACTTAACGTACTTAAGCTTCGCACTGACAAATATTTACCTAAGAGGTGAAACCATAGTAAATAGACGCGAGAGATTGAATTAAAATAAAAGTATTTTTGCTAACCAATACGTTTATTCAAAGAAACCTATAAGAAAAGTAATCTAAACATACGTTGTCACGATCAATAAATATATCTAATTAGCAATATGACATATAAGAAATTTAGAATTTATTGAATTATATAATTTATCCAAAATGCATGTACTAGTTTATGTAAACGTTACACAGTTCTTCTAAAATATGTTGTTAACTTTAATACTACGTTAAAACGACTGTTTTTGTAAATAATCGGATTCGCCATAAACAAGTGATCATATGAATCACAGCAACTGAAAACAGTTATTCACAATTATTTGTTTTTTTTTTTTCAGAAATTCTCTTTAAGATTAATGTATCTTTTAATAGTTCCAGATAGGCTTCTTCCTAGAATATGACATACGACAATATCCAAATGTCATTTTGTCTTTTATAAGAGTAGGTGCAAATGAGCGTCGGAAACAACAATGTGATCGTCGCCCATGAACATCCGCAACACCGGAGGACGTAATTTAAGTTCTATTTAGTATGATAATATTTACCTGGCGAGCGCCTCCATGTTGTGCATGGGCTGTCCCTTGATGATGGAGCCGTCGGGCCGCGGCACGCCCGGGTGCATAGGCGACATGAGGGCGTGCTGGTGCATGAAGCCCATCGGGCCTAGGTGCGTCGGCGGCGCGTTGTAGCCGTTGGCCAGTAGCGGCGACTTCTCCATTCGGGCCATCTCTGTTAAAACACACTGTTGTTAATACTCTGTCACATAAAAGTAACACAAGATTGTCGTTCTTCAATCCAATTGGAGTTTATTTCGTTTAATAAATTTAATTTGTTAAATTCGATATAAAAACATTTCTCCTGAATACACAAATTAGACTATCGATCTCTTGCGGACTTTGTTCATAAATACCCCCAAAATTTGTCAAAATAAATAGCGCGCCACTCTAACGATACAGCGAAGCGTACCTGCCGAGGTAAAATCCAATTAATGGCGGGTATTATCATTTAATTACCCGTTCCAATAATCGAATCGACCGTAAACGGCGAATCAACAATAATAAAATGAGCAATGAATTTGAGACTATTGTTTTGTGGGCACCACAAACAGCCCGTGTAAACATAGGGGGTGTTGGACAAATATTCTTAAAATGGCACACCCTTTTCGGGGGTTGTTTTTGGAGGTTTTCGGGTGGTCTTTGGACGTCCGCGAGCCCCCACCGGCGAGGTCACCAAACGGACCGGGCGTCGGAAACAATTAACGAGGTGTCGAATTATACACGAATTAACGGTCGGGCCGTTAAAGGAAACACCCTTTTCCATTGTCGCCGGCGTTTCACAAAGGATTTCGGGATTGCTGACGATTCAATACATGCTTAGCTTTGTTATGCTATTAGCGACACAGGTTATGGCACAAACACCCGCATAATGTTAATCCTATAAATCAACACCGCATAATATCTTACACGGTGTACTGCATTGATTATGAACAAATGTTTTGACTCTATTTCAAACAAGACTGTAAAAAAATGTCAATAGATTATCCATTAACTAGTAAATTAAGTTGTTATTGAAATCATACAGAGCAGTAATAATCTAAAATTGATAATAAATTAGAGAAGTATAGCTTTAGGTTCAATGACCTTCGCAAAACTCTGGTATCATAATTTGTTTTATTAGAGAAATATATACGAAACAAGAATATCACATGAATGTATAATGCCACCCTTCACTCACACTAAGCAATACTCGGTGATTAAACTAAGTTACAAACAAACAAACATTATGACCAATGGACCCTGAATTAATTGACCGGGTGTATTTACTTAGTTAACCGCTTCGGTTATCTTCTGAGCCATACACCGGTTAAAATTTACATTCGTGGTTAGTAGATATTGAATCTCATGTGTGTACATTAGATTTTAACAGGTAGTTTTATTTGTGTATCGAATTAACTAATGTTTAAGAGTAAAGTTAGATTGTTAAAACAATAGTTGATTTATCAAAATATACTATAACATTACTTAATTTCAAATATTGTTTTTTAAAAATGTAAGTTTGTCACAATAATGTCAATTTCAACTTAATATTAAATCGCACAATAGTCAACAAAGAAGTAATGTTTCAAAAGCCATTTAAACAATAAGTTTTACATTTCCTTGTTCGTGCAAAATTTATTTGAAATAAACCACAATACGGTTAAACAACTAACAGTAATATTTACAAATCCTTGCGCACACACGAGCCCACGCGCTTTGGTCAACCGCATTCACTAATTAACTGGATGCGTGTTAAATCTCATATCCTGCGGTCAGACCCTATGCTGTCTCTTTCTTACAAGTAGCGTGGCCTATATTTGTTTCATTTCTTTTTAATCGCGTAAACATTTTCACGTATCGAGAATTTTGGCATAACTTTTTTACTAATGATTTTCTCCCATACCATTAACTACTACTATAAAGTACTATAGTTAAGGTACTAAGTTACTATAAAGTACTACAATATAATTACAATTATTTACTATTCCTATATATTTGTTTGTTTTAACCACGATTAAAAAAGCTTAGGAATTCCGAGGCAAATTCATTTAAAATCCTAATCACCTGTATTAAATATTATTGTTATAATATGCTTCAGTTTTAATAGCACGTTGGCAAAAAAGTACAAGTGAACAAAATGGCATTTAATCGGCGATCGATCGAATGATCTCTCGAGTTGAAAAAAGAAACACCGTTGGTCGATTACCATTATAACTATTATTATGTGAATCCGCTCATTAAGCATTTAAAGAAATAAAACGATCGATTGTGAACCATTATGATATCGATTCCCGTCGATTTATTGATCGAATATCGACTGTCCTCGATAAATGACCGCATCAAATTACCGACCATTATATCGAATTAGAATCGATAGAATCGGGACCCCAATTAGATCACTTATGTGTTTAAAGGAGGTTGGGATAGAGGCAATCATAACCGCAAATTTAAAAGACCATTTTATTTTTTAAAAGTGCTCAACGACGTTCGCTCAATAAGGCTTTATTTTTTTTAACAATCGAACATCGAACGAAAAGCAACATTTGTATTGTACTAATTGATTGAGGCATGTTTTATGATATGGCAAAGCTACACTCGCAGCCAGTAAGATAATGGAACAGACATAATAACCATTGAGTTTTATTACGCTCGGATTACAAAATGACCAAACGGCAAAGGCATAAATAATTGGCCATAAAGCGAAAAGAACGAGCTCTGCGACTGACAATGTATAGTTTGTGACCACTCGCTCACCTGCCTACAAACTGTTCCTACGTACTAATATGTTCGTATGTGCATCATACTATGTTTGTTTTAACAATTTTAATATCACAAACATGATAGCTTAATCATACATTTTAAAAGACCACAGTCAAAACTATTACTTCTGAATCTTAAAATGACTGCACTGTTTGTGCCCTAGTAGTTATAAAGTTTATTACAATGTATATTTTGTTAATTGAAATACCTATATGTAAACAAGATTCCAAAGCGTATTTTTCTTTAATTAATTGTCCTTTGGGTACTCGACGACATTTAACTCAATAAGACTTGGCTGTCTATCTAAGAATTGATTATTATTTATTGTCATTAATATACCTATGTTTAACTATTATTAATAATATAAGGCTAAGTCATTTAATAATTAAATTCTAAGTTTCTTACAATGTTGCATTTAGTCATCAATTATTAATTCCACGCACTCTAAAACTTATTTCAATCTATGTACCATCAAATATTACGAAAAATAAACGCCTAGATTTTATAACTCCCTGGTATAAGTTAAAAGTTTAACATAACAGTAATGGCCGGTAAATCACAAGAAACGAATAAATTATTAGATGCATTAAGCTCTTGCAATATAAATACGAAGCTAATAAAAATACAAAGTTGTTAAATGTTTATACTTTGGTGTGCGGCATTGCTGCACTGTGTGCTGTGATTGAACAGGGATAGAGGTTACAAAAATATATTGTAAGTATGTACAGTCAGCTGCACAAATATGCACACATTTACAAAAGTCAAGAAACTTGTATACCGTTTCAAAAATATGTATACATCCGTATACTTCTGACCAGGAATATATGCTATTGACGGCTACGTCACATCACATCACATCACATTTTTAAAATCGAAATTCTGAATTGTAAAAATGTGAGTTACTGAAGTTTGATTCAGGTGACTGTAGCAAAAATTATTATATTAGAGTGAACTATCCTACTGTTAAATGAAACCTTTTCTTTAAACTTTTATATTTTTGTATATTTCCATCGCAGTTAAGTTTCAGTTAAGATAGCATGACTAATATTTGAAACATATTCCCCGTTACTGTTCTTATTTTGTTTATTTAGTTATAGTTACTTTATAGTTATTGTAACGTGTTATTGTAACTAATTTAACGATTATTCTCTGTATGCAAGCTTAGTTACCATCAGATTAGCGTCCTCATAGTCGAGTTATTTATACTCTTTTAATTATAGCATGGCGCGGGTGACGTTTTAACGCTCCCATTAAATGACGCAATTTGAACTACATGTAATCATTTTAAATATTGTTTGTTTTGCATGAAAATAAATTAGATGTTTTTCTGCAGTTTTAGTTAATCTTCTTAAAAAAATAAAACATGTTTTAATGCTTTTAGATGTTATGAAACTTATGCTTAAGAAGGGAATGGATTCAGATATAACGGCTGATAGAAATGTATGGAAGAGCAGCAATACTGTGACGACCCTCCGTAGGGGTAAGGGCAAGTTGATGATGAAATGTTATAAAACCTACTTATTTATTATAATAGTTAAAACAAAATTTAGAAAGTACTGTCATGATAGCTACAACAACAAAAGTAGACTGCACTTAGAGTAGTAGCTATGAATCCTTGTATAACAAAACAGTTAACGTTAAGTGAACTGAGGTCAAGCCTCGGAATGGCAAGCCAAATGATCGGCAGACGCGGAGAGGCGGCAAAACGAAGAATCTCGAAAATGATACAAAACAAGGCGAATTAAAAGTAAATTACAGCCGGCCGGCAAGCGTGGCGTTTACAATAAACACATAATTGTACGGTCAGTATACCAATGGCATATACGATTGAGCGAAATAACTGTCTGCAATTTGGGAGTTGGATCGCTTTTTGTCGCTTACACGGCCGGCTCTGTTAACTGTGAAAATGAAATTTTATTTGAGCATTATCATTAAAATGCTTTTTATCTTTACTAAAAGGGACAACAACTTTTAAGACGATGTTTTAAGCTATTTTAAAATTTTATCCATTATTTAATAATACTCTATAACTCGTCTGTACAAAGAGCACACACACAGCCACCTACATATTTACTATTAAATAATGGCGAAGTGCAGTATTTAGTTTATTTTTGTGAATTTAGTATTAGTGTTAAACGAATTAAGGGATGGTATTGGCTCCTTTAATACAGAGAATCAACCTAGTAAAGATTAAAACAATTTATGTGCAATGTATTTGTGAAATTACATGCACAGTTCACAATATTGTGTTTTTGTTTAAATAAAATAAATAAAGTCCCTAGTTGTAACAGTACATCTATTAAGAGATGAAAAGAAGTTCTATTCCGAATAGTCAACAATATTGGAGACGGACAATCGGCGACACAAGTCACGCGCCGGCAACAATCAATAACAGTAATACACGAACGCCGACAAATTGTGTTCGGTCAACAA